TCATTTGAAGCCATACATTTGTTGGCAGATTTGTTGCTTCTATTGTTGTTGTTGTTGCTTTAACAGCAACATGTTGCCATTGCAAAGTTGTGTTTTTTTTTTAAATTTCCTTCAATAACTTCAATGGATAATTTTCCTGACTTTTTCTATATTAACATTTGTTTGTTTGTTTTTGTGTGTGTGTGTTTGTGGGGGGGAGGGGAAGGAAGACCCCCAATGGATGCTAAATGAAAAAGTATTTGTTGTTATTTTTCTGTACAATTGTTTCCTTTGGAGATTTGGATTTTATAGACATATTCTTTATATATTTCTTTGGGTTTCTTTTTGCTATTGGCTTTTGTTATTAGTTCTTTAGTATTAGAAAAATATTTCCAATCTGAAATGTGGAACAAAGTTTTACAAAACAGAAGAAGAAAAAGAAGATCAAATCTTTGAAAACGAAAGGGCATGGAATTTGTTGCCAAAGGTCGTGAGAAAATGTCTTTTGTAATCAATGTCGTTTACGGCCTAGATCTAAAAAATCGTCATTAAAAGAAGAAGAAAAGAAGGGACTGTTGCTTTTCTCAAAAGAAAAAAAATTGAAAAAGTGACATAAAACAGGAATAAGTTTTTTTTTATAAAAAATTTGCAGATTCCCAGGACAGAAGCGTTCTTTAAATAAGAAAAATTTCACGGACCCCCGGACAGGAGGGTTTTCTATAGGGCCCTTAGGATCGCTGAGCATTTTTTTCTCGGTAGAAAAAATCCTCAGACACCAAGAAATTAGTTTTTTCCATAGAAAGGAAATGGTATTCTACAGGGTCTAAGAGTTTTTTAATCTATACAGAGTGAGATGAAAAAACAGCAACCCACTTCAGACTGCTGTCATTTTTAAGCCATACGTCCTACAGCTGTTAAAATTATTCCAGTGACAGCTCATTATATTGTTAACAAAAGCGTTCAAAAGCATTTTGGTGAGAATTATCCAGAAAAAAAGCCATTCGTGATGGAATACAATCGTGATAGTGTGATTTCTCTATATTTGGCTGGAAAACCACAAGTGGCTATCGTTAGAGCACTCCAGCATTTAAATGTGAATAAATCTTTTGTGTCTCGTACCACTCGCTCGTTACCGTGATTTGTTACAGGTAGCGTAGCCCGAAGTCAAGGAAGTGGACGAAAGAAAACAGCAACATCAGCAGAAATGGTTCGAAAAGTAAAGAAGCGCCTTGATCGAGACTTGCGTTGCAGTGGTCGAAAATGGCTCGTGAGCTGAACATTTCACAATATTCCATTCGGCAAATATTGAAAAATGAGCTCGGGGTAAAGCCATTGAAATTCCAAAAAGAACCAATAACTTATACCGCAACAGAATGAAAATAGACACAAAAAGCTTGCCCAAAAGTGGTGAACTGCCGAATTTGGTTTTCTCCGATGAGAAAATGTCCAGCAGTTTGTAAACAAACAGAATGATCGTGTTTACTTGCCAATGAGGTCAACACCGCATCTTCGGTTGGCCACCAGAACTCAAGCGTCGGCCCTAGTGATGGTGTGCGCTGCCATAACAGCCGATGGTTGCTTTCCGACCGTCACATCATGATAAATGCCGAGTATTATCGCGAAAATATTCTGGAGGGTGTATTAAAGTCTTGGGCACGCAGATATTTTGGCCGTAGACCATGGAAATTCCAACAGGACTCAGCACCATCACACTCAGCACGCGCCACCCAAGAATGGTTACAAAATGATGTTCCTCGCTTCATTTACAGCACACAATGGCCACCAAAATCTCCGGATACCAATCCGTTAGACTATTGTGTCTGGAGAATTTTGGAAAGCAAGGTTGGCACTAAAAAATACCAAAGTGTCGATCACCTCAAGCAAGCGCTGGGCCAAAATGCCGCAGAGCAACATTCGGGCAGCGTGTGACAGTTTCATTGGCCGTTTGAAGGCCATAATTCGTGTCAAAGGTGACCAAGTCGAACAAATCTAAACTTATTCTAAAATTTGATGCTATTTCCGACGTTTTTTGCTTTCATTCAATAAAATTTAAAGAAAAAAATGTAAAAATAATGGCGTTTGACTTTGTTTTTTAGTTTAGGAGTAGTGAGTGGCCTTTAATCAACGCCCAGATGACACGGCTGAAATTCGTACTGAAAGCGTGCGGAATGTACTAATATGTACTACAGATTTTAAACTTTGTATTGGACAAACGGAATTAACTTCTGAAATTTGGAAAGGTTTGAATAGGTGTACCTTAGGTTTTTTTTGGAAATTCGAACTATAGTTTTACGAAAAGTTCTAAAATGGTACCATTTGGCATTATATAAACGGATAGAGCTAATAACTTGAAATTTCTTTTGGGAATCAAGGTTAGAAAGTAAATTTGACATATATGTAAAGTTGGTTTTGAAAATGTGTACTAAGTGTATGAACTGTACTAAATGGTACTACATTTGGAACAGTTTGATTGAGGGTCAACGGATGAAGCTGAAATTTTGTATTGGATTCCTGTTGATGGTAGGTTTGTTATAAAGAGTTGGTTTCGAAAAGGTGTACTACAAGTGCAAGAAAAATACTAAATAGTACTATATTTGATATTTGAACTTTAAGTGTACGAAAAGTTCTAAAATGGCACAAAACTTGTAAAATGGTACCATTATTTGTATTGTGTGAACAGATAGTGCATGAAATATGAATTTTGGTTTTGGGTCGAAGTTCAGTCTGGACATATGGAGGTATTTTCGGAAATCTGTTGTATAATTGTACAAAAGTACCTGATGGAACTATATGTGTTATTGAGTGAAGGGATAAATATAAATTTCTGAAATTAGACATTTAGATTACTGATGGTATCTTTCTTTGAGATTTGGCGGTGGTTTGGAAATGAATCATATATTTGTACGAAATGTACTAAATGGTACTAAATTTGGTATTGAGTAAAGGGATAGGGCTGAAATTCTCAAATTTGATATTGAGATCTCTGTTGGTATCTAGGATTGAGATAAGGAGGTGGTTTTGAAAGTATGTACTATATGTGTACGAAAAGTACTAAATATTACTATATTTCGTGCAAATTGGTATTTGGTGAACAGATAGTGATTGAAATATGAAATTTGATTTGGGGTCCATGTTTATGAGTAGTCTGGACATATCGAGGTGGTTTCAGACATGAGTACTATAATTGTACAAAAAGTATACTATATTTGGTATTGGGTGAGGGGTAGATATAAAATTCTGAATTTTGATTTTTAGATTGCTGATGATATATGTATTTGAGGAGGGAAAGTACTAAATTGTATTAAATTTGGTATTGGTTAAAGGGATAGAGCTTGACTCCTCAAATTTGATATGGAGATCTCTGTTGATATCTAGAAATGGGATATGAAGGTGGTTTTTGGAAGTGTGTACTATAATTGTACGAAAAATACTAAATAGTACTACATTTGGTATTGGGTGATTGAATAGAGCTGGTATCCTAAAATTTGATATTGAGTTCTCTGTTTGTTTTTGAATTTGAGATATGGAGGTGGTTTTGGAAATGTGTACTATAATGTGTATTATAATCGAAAAGCACCAAATAGTACTAAATTTGGCTGAAGGGGTAGAGTTGAGATTCGCAAATTTGATTTTATGTTGGATCTGGGATTGAGTGGTGGTGGTTTTGGTAATGTTTACCATAATTGTTCGAAAAGTACCAAAAAGTTCTAAATATTGTCTTGGCTGAAGGGATAGAGTTGAGATTCTCAAATTTGACACTGAGGTCTCTGTTGGTATCTGGGAGAGAGTGGTAGTGGTTTTGAAAGTATGTACCATAATTGTTCCAAAAATACTAAATAGTACTAAATTTTATATTGTGTGAAGGAATAGAGCTGAAATCCTGAAATTTGATATAGAAGTCACTGTTGCCAACTAATGTTGTAGGGGGTTTTGTCAATGCGTACTACAATTTTTCGAAAAGTACTAAATGGTACTAAAATTTGGTTTTGAGTGAGGGGAAAGAGCTGAAATGCTGAAATTCGATATTTTTGAGTTCTAAAAGGCCTAACACAAACTTTTGGAACAAATCTGAAATTTTAAAGAAGACTTCTCGCTGACAAAGTAACTCCTAACACCTTGCTACTATTCTATACATGTTCAATCCTTGTTGAGTTTAGTATCCCATCCCTGACTTCTAGTACCTCCCATATCTCGTTGCCTTATTGCCTTTGGAAATTAACATACATATCCATTTTCCTAATACCCATTTCCCACACTTCAAGTTCTTTTTTTTCTTTCGCTTGGCACAGATACTCTGTGTGGACATCATCATCACCATCGTCGTCTTCATTAAAAGGATTGCCTCCAGCCAATAACGTGTTGTGGAACTAGCTACAAAAGGCAAAAAAGAGGACAAACTATACTTGACCTAAAAAATCGGTAATGGTTGGTCGGGCTGTCGGTCGGCCCCTCAAACCGGTTCAGCACTTGTGCATATTCACTATTTTCCATACCGGCCCGGTCGGGGAACTATGGAAATATAATAATAATTATTGTTATTAGTTTCTTTTACTAAATTCTTGCCTTGCCGCTTTTTGTTTGCTTCCCGCTCTTCTTCTACTAATTGGCTTTTAGTAAAAGAAAAAAAAACTGAAAATGAACATACACTGAACTCTGGAGGGGCTTTTCTTGAATACACACACTTTCACATAGTCATAGAAGCTGAAGAAGAAAAAACTTGGAAACTTGTTTCCAAAGAAAATATTTGTTCTACATAACCCCACCAACACACAGACACATTTGATGAATGTCCCCCGACAATGTTAGGTTGTAGTCCCATAGGCTCAATGGATGCATTGCGGAAATATGGATTACAAGTTTTTTGCAACATTTGAAAGGAAATAGAAAAATAAGGGACATTCAGAAATTGTTACTTAAACCCCCATTGGTATTAATGGTAAAGAGTAGATCGATTCGGGTTCTTTTTTTTTCCAAAAATGTTCAAAACTTAAATTGATTTTCGCCTCCCTTTTCCCTTCCAGGAGCTTCAAAGGAAATTGGCACAGCTCTGACCCGAGTGTGCTTACGACACAAGGCGGTTGAGACACGCCTGAAAACATTTACAGCCGCTATTATGGACTGTCTGGTACAACCATTACAAGTAAGTCGCACATCAAATCCCTAATCAATTAGCAAATCCTTATTCCTCTCTCTTTCATATTTCTTTCAGGAAAAACTAGAAGACTGGAAACGTTCTGTAGCTATGATAGATAAGGAACATGCCAAAGAATACAAACGCTGTCGCACGGAACTGAAAAAACGTTCCACCGACACCTTACGTCTACAGAAAAAAGCTCGCAAAGGGCAATCGGATAATTTACAATCATTGATGGACTCGCACATGCAGGATGTCACTCTGAGGCGTGCCGAATTGGAAGAGGTGGAAAAGAAGTCACTGCGTTCGGCCATGATTGAGGAGCGTATGCGTTATTGTAATTTTGTACATTTGCTGCAACCGGTCGTCAAGGAGGAATGTGAGGTCATGTCGGAATTGGGTCATTTGCAGGTGAGTTAAAGGGAAGACATACTCACAGAGAGGATCGCAAGCGGACTTCTATCTGCAGTGGACCTTTCAGAAGATATCATATCAATAAGAGTTCTTGGTCATCGATGAGAATACCTCTAGGTCTTCTCTATGAAGTGCTTCTATTATAAGACCAACAGGACTTCTATTGCAAGATCAATGGCTAACCAGTCCTATATGAGAAAAGCAACTAGTGTTCTTGGTCTTTTCTCGTAGAACACCAGTTGCTTTTCTCATATAAGAATTTGATCTTCTGCCTCTGGTCTTTTTGGTCTTTTATGAGAAGACCCTCCGGTCTTGTATGAGAAGACCCTCTGATCTTCTATGAGAAGACCCTTTGGTCTTTTATGAGAAGACCCTCCGATCTTGTATGAGAAGACCCTCTGATCTTCTATGAGAAGACCCTCTGATATTTTATGAGAAGACCCTCACTCGCCTTCATGAGAAGACCAAGTGGCTTTCCTTCTTGTCTTCTACGAATATACCTTCGTTTTTGCTTGTAGTGGAAGGCTAACTGGTCTTCTATAGGACGACCTTCTTGTCTACCATACAGATCTTCTATATGAAGACAAACTAGCCTTCTGTAAAAAGACCAAATGGTCTTCTATATGAAGACCAACTAGCCATCTATAAAAAGACCATATGGTCTTCTATAAGAAGATTCACCGGTCCGCAATAGGAAGACCTCTTGGTCTTCAGTTCGATGACCGATTGGTAATCGATTAGAGGACATATTGGTCCTCGATAAGGAGATATTTAATATAAAAGAGACCGATCTTCTATGAGATGACCCTCTGGTTTTCGAAGAAAAAAGATCCTGTGGACTTCAATAAGAAAACCATCTTGTCTTCATTCGGATCAAAATATCCGATTTAGACATTTAGACTTCTATACGATGACCTACTGGTCTTCTCTAACAACAGCTTCTGTTTTTCAATAAAAAGGCCGAGACAATAAGAAGACCACTTGGTATTCGATAAGAAGCCCCTCAAGAGGAAGACCTTTGGGTCTATTAAATTATTTCTTTGGTGTTCTATAAGATCACTCCTGGGTCTTCTTTAAGAAAGTCTCGTGGTCTGCCATAAACAGAATAGTCATCATTAAATGACGGCCAGATCATCTGTGAGAATACCTTCAGGGATTCTATAAGATGAGCTCATCGTCTTCTATAAAAGACATTCTGGTCTTCTATTAGGACCACTCTTGGTTCCCTATTACAAAATATTGTTCTATCTTTTTCGGACCTTCCGGAGGTTTCTTTTCTATAGGCTTTTTATACCCTCAGCCATATGGCTACAGAGGGTATATATCATTTGATACGGCCAAAACGTGCCTAGTCGAAATAACGGTTTTAGACCCTAGGTCTCTTTGGACCAAATCCGTTTCAGAACATTTGGAGTCGATCTAGCGATGTCCGTCCGTCCGTCCGTCCGTCCGTCCGTCTGTCTGTCTGTCTGTCTGTCTGGCTGGTGCGCACGATGAATCTCGAAGGAAGTATCCGATTTGGTCCAAATTGGCTACATCGTAATATTTTTGTCAAACTTAGATCGAGTTCGGAGAAGGGCAATATCGGTCCACTCCTTCTGGTACCTCCCCCACAAAAGGCCGACATTTTCAAAAAATATATTTTTTGCACAGAAAGAGAAAGAATAATCCGATTCTGCTCCTACTTTGCAAATCCTAATATTTGCATCAGTGCTAGGTCAGGTGTGAAAATGGACAATATCGGTCCACTCCATCAAGTACCTCCCCCACAAATGGTCAAAAATTTGAATAATTACAACTCTCATAAAAAGTGATGTAAGAGTCCGATTGTCTTCAAATCTCATACATCCCAATATTTATATTAACCCAAGGTCTGGTGTTAAGATGAACAATATCGGTCCACTCCTTCTGGTACCTCCCCCACAAAATCGAAATTTTCAAAAAATATTTTTTGCACAGAAAGAGAAAGGATAATCCGATTCTGCTCAAACTTTGCAAATCCTAATATTTGCGTCAGTTCTAGGTCAGGTGTGAAAATGGACAATATCGGTCCACTCCATCAAGTACCTCCCCCACAAATGGTCAAAATTTTGAATAATTACAATCTCATTAAATGTGATGTAAAAGTCCGATTGTCTTCAAATTTCACACATCCTAATATTTGAATTAACCCATGGTCTGGTGTGAAGTGGGAATACATCGGTCCACTCCTTCTGGTACCTCCCCCACAAAATATTGAAATTTTGAGTATCCATGAAGCTCATAAAACGCCAAATGAACATCCTATTCCATTTAGACTTGGCACATCTGTCGAAATATTTATATCATATTTTTGGGTCCGATAGAAAATGGGCGATATTGGCCCATTCCTTCGGGATCTGCTCCATAGAGGGTCAAACGTTTGAATAATCTTAACACTAGTCAAAATATATTTACATAATCGAACATACGCTGAGGGTATATATCTGGCGGCAATACCGACTGATACTTTTTAACTTGTTTTTAAAGATGTTTTATCTATATTTATCTTATGTAGAAGTCTATAGCTTATGCAGAAGTTTAAAATTATGTATGAGGACTACAGAAGAGCCTTCCATAAGAAAAATATTTCGTAAGGGTTCTACAAATTAAAGGGTCTTCTATCCCCAAAAGTTCAATTCATTTATTGAATAACTTATTGAGATTTTTTTCAAACCATTTAGGCTAGCTCATTAAATAATAATTTCTTGTTTTTTTTCCTTTCTTTGTCCTCTATTCCAATTTCACACCCTTCCAGGAAGCTATGCAATCAATTGCTTTGGTTACCAAAGAACCACACGTTTTACCACCTGCCAGCGAGGAATTAATACATGATGCCAAGGCATCCATTACACTATATCCCGAATCGCCCAGCACTAGTGGCGGTGGGGGAGGTTCACTATCGCAAGGAGGTTGTTCCAATTCATTGGGTTCGCGCAAATCGTCGGTGTGTTCAATTAGTTCCATGAACAGCAGTGGTTCGAGTAATTCACCCGGTCATCCACACTATCAGAGGTCATTGTCGCAGGTAAGTAGTGGAGATTCTTTTATATTTTATTATGAATTATTTCAAGTTCACCACACTGCCAATTGTTTTTATTTCTATGTTTTGTTTTTATTGTTTTTTTTATAGTACATTTCACCATCAATGCGCTTAAAACCTGGTGAATCCAGTGATAGTGGCTTTTGTTCATCGCCAGCCTTGACAACACAGGTTTTTATTTTTCTTTGTTTTTATGATTTCTTTCTTTTGCTTTCCATCACCCAACACCATCACTTCTTTGCATTTTTTATTTTCAAATCACTCATTTTTGTACATTTTCCTCTTCTAGGCCTCTTCTATTGCCAATCCTTCACACGCTGTCACCACCTGGCCCACACATTCACAGGACGCCGTTGACCTAGCACCCAATGCCACAGATCGTCCACACACAATATCTTCGGCCTATGAAAAGGGTCATCAAAGACCACCCTTGACCGTCTATACTTTTCAAAATCCCGAAACTATACACGAGGGGGGTATTGGTGGTAATGCAAATGGTAGTGGTGGCACTAATTCTGGACAAAATACACCATCGACACAAAAATCACCGGGTGGTGCATTAAATCGCCCGCCACTGCCAGTGGTAAGTTTTATATATCTCATAAATGAAAGTGGTTATAAGGAAGTGGAAGTGGATAACATTTAAAATTGAAATTTGTCTCCTATAACCGTTTTCATTGCTGTTGTATAAATGTCGTTATATTTTGTTTATATCTCAAAATATTTTCTTGTTGTTGTAAATATGCTTCTGTTTGTCTTGACTTCTCAATGTTTTTTTTTTTTACAATTTTTTTGTGTAAATTTTTGTCTGTCGAAAGAAACCAGCCCATGTGGTAAGTGTTATTCCTTGAATAATTTTTTGCTCCCTGGTTTCTCCAGATACATTGACATTCCCTTAGCCCAAAATAAAGATAATGTTTCATTCGTCATCTCCAGTAGTAATTCTGCTAGTTATAATATCTCATTCAATTGGATGTTCCTTCTAACCCTTTCCTCCGAAAAATACATTTAACTATCTTTCATTTCTCATCAAAAATTCCTTCGATTGTCTAGGTTATGGCTAAATGTATAAAGTAGCACCGATTTCTGTCCATCCAATGGTGGACCCTTTTCAAAAGATCTACCCAGCCCTGCCTATATTATTTACTATTAAATGATTTCTTAAATTTTATTTAATTAATGTTTTTGCTTAGATCCTGAAGGTCTCAAGCTCAAATCTAAATGAGTTTTTAGTTTCCAGGCTAAAATTTGTTTTAGGGTCCATTATACGGGTGAGGTAAAAACCAGTAACAATGTCAAACGCCATAATTTTTACATTTTTTTAATTTTATTGAATGTTCTAGTTCTAGTGGCCACCCGAAGGTGCACATTTTCAGCTGACCTCTTTGGCAAGTAAACACCACCATTTTGTTTGTTTACAAACAGCTGGACAACGAATGTTTTCTCATCGGAGAAAACCAAATTCGGCATTACACCACTTTCGGCGAGCGAAGCAACTCTTTAGCTCTTTTGAGTCCTTTTCTCTTCCAGTTGCGGTATAAGTTCTTGCACTTTTTGAAATTTTAATGGCTTTACCCCGAGCTAATTTTTCAATACTTTTTGAATGGAATATTGCGATATTTTCAGCTCACGAGCCATTTTCGGCCACTCTAAGATATAGGCTTTAAATTTGATACAGGTCTATAGGTTACATGTAGAAACATTTGTACAAAATATGGGTCATGTCGGACCACGTTTTGGGATAGTCCCCATATAAGGGTATACCCCGATTTCAAGTAATTGGGTCACGTTTTGGTATAACCATCATATGAAGGTATCCCCTCATTTCAGCCATTTCCGGGGTCTTGGCCACATATTTCAATTGATTTTGCTCTTATTTGGCATCTTGCTACAGGCGCAGAAACCCTTTTCGCAAAATCTGTTTAATGTAGATCAAAGTTTCGAAGCAGCGCCCATATATAAGGTTCCTACTGATTTTACGTGTTCCGAGGGTGTTGACCTCATTTTTCAATCGATTTGGTTAAAAATTTGTATAGAGGTAGAGGGATATAGAACCATCTCAAAGAAAATATTTTGGCAGAGACCCCATATAACGCTTCCTCCCAGGACCACGTTTCCAGCCAATATTGTTGGTTGAGAAATATTGGGGGTTGAGAAATTCCAAGTGGAGGTAATAGCATTGGATAAAAACAGCAAATCTTCCGAAAGGTTTTGAATTCTGAGATCTTGTTAAGTTTAATAAACCCTTAAAATTTAATTCTCACTTATTTCAGCTGTGGTGATTTCTTAAGAAACTCCCCACAAGTAAATGTTGATCCAAAATCATAAGAAACTTACCAAAATGTTTACATATAAAAACCAAAAAATGTCGTCATTATAAGAATATTATATTTAAAAAGTTATTCGGTCGTGGTCAATTTCTCTGGAAACTCAAACCCATGTATTTTAATGCGAATTCACCAAAAATTGAGTTTTTGTTTACCGAAATGTATATTAATATTCTAAAACTAATATTTGTTGGAAGTGGTGACATAAATAATGTCCATCGAAAATCATAAATAACTTATATTTATTATTTAAAAACGGTCCAGAATTTAAAAATAAGTCTTTTCGGACATTGTGAAATTTTAAAGAAACTCGCCACATTATATTTTTTTATAAATTTAGTCATATATTTACATTTAAACTAAAAATGATTTCGATCACAATACCAACATTCTGATAATACTTTATTTTAATAATGTCATATTTCGGACGTGGTGAATTTCTCTGAAAATCACCATCCTTGAATATTACTAGAAATTTACAACAAATGTGTTGTCATTACCCAAATATATGTTTATTTTTAAATTAATTTTATTGGGTTCAAAATCGATCTGGAGGTTAAAACTAACGTTTTTTTGTCATTGTGAATTTGTCAATAAAATCCTCAAACGTGAATTTCCATCGAAAAATGGTCTTTTGACCAAAAATATCATACATACTGGGCAATCGAGGAATAAAAATACGTTTTTAATAATTTTAATGGACTAATAATTTTAATGGAATTTCTCAAGAAACTCACCACACCATTTTTTGGTGAAAATCTAGAAGAAATAATTTTGCATTATTAAAAAATTAATTTGGAGCACATTTTCAATACTTTTGTGGAACTTTTTATTAAAACAAGTTCTAGAACATGTCTTAGCCGCTATTTGAATAAATTTTCTTTTTTCTACAAAAATTAATTTATCCCAGTTGTTTTTAAAAAAAGCTTTGGCATCTGAAATTGGTCTTTACAAAATTGCGATAAAGATTATTTTGTGCTGTCGTATTATTCCATCCACTCTTTCCTTTGTGTTTGTTTCAAGCTAGCTTTTAATTCTGTTCTTTTGTAATCGATTATTATGTCATATTTTCCGGTACCAAATTATTCGCTTTACATCAATGATACTTTTGAAACTTGATGTCATCATGTTCTTATATTCATTCTCAATTAGTGGATTTGGACCCTTGTTATCTTTGATCTTTGCACAAACATATATATTTTTTTTAAATTTCAAATCATCGAAATCCTCCTCTACTTTGGTCATAATTGCCATGAATCACTTTTAATACAATTTCCATTTTAATTTCTTTTTTACAGCGTTGCTCCTCGTTGGAACGTCCCTTGGTGGCCAGCAACAATCGTGGCAATGGTCCAAATATTATGCAACGTCAGTGTCCATCACCGATACCGGCTCATGTAACCAAAGGTATGTTGTCGACGGAAATCATCATGGCGTCACTAAACTAATTAAAAAAAAAGTAAACCCACCCACCTTAGCCTTATTGTCCTTGGTCCGTCCTTCCCCCTGTTATCACCCACACCCTTACACACCCACTGTAATTTAATTTCCTTCCACCAAGTGTTTTTTCTTTTAAATTTCCTGCTGAGAAATACAATTCCTATCATTTTTTATTTAATTAATTAAGCTCAACAATTTCAACTAATTGTGCTAATTTTTTTCAATATGCTTTTTTATTTTTTTCTATGTCCCATCAAATAAAAAAACAAAAAAATAAAACAACTACAACTACCACCCATCACCTCCTACTGCTGCTGCTGATTTATGTGTCTAATTAACCAACAACCAATCAAAACTGGCAACAAAACAAAACAAAAAATGCTACAACAATAATTTTTGGTGTAAATTATGTCCTTGTTTTTGTTTTCTTTTGTTTGAAAATGGAAATACTTCTTTTTGATGAAAACAACTACAACAACAAAATTGGATTTTTTTTCCTTTGCATGACCCCCAATTTTTTATGTTTCCTTTAAAAAAATTTCTTTTGTTACACTTTCAAATTGCAAACACTATCACAATTATATATGTATATACTATATATATCATACAAATACAAATGCTTTTGAGAGTAGAGCTAGCAGCCCATCTTGCTCAGCAACAACATATGCAGCAGCAACAACAGCAATCCCAGCAACAGGCCACAGCAGCCCAGCAATTGCAGCAGCAGCAAAGCTCCCCGCCCACCTATGTTAATATGTCGGAATTGGCCAATATGGCAGCCATGAAGCAACAGCAGCAACAGCAATCATCTTCCTCATCATCACCCCCAACATCAACCGTACACCAAAATCAACAACAACAGCAACATCAGCAGCAGGCTGTGTTACAACAACAACATTCAATTGACTCCATATCATCCATACACTCCAACGACTCAAATCAATCGGCGGCCCTGCAACAACAACAACACCAACAACCGAACACACCACAACACCCAACTAGCCAACAAACACCACCACCCATACACCAACATCCAACCACAACACAACGTTCCCAATCCTCTAGCTCGATGACACCATCGCTACATTCACACCCATCCATTGACTCCACTTCGTTGGCCACACCATCCATTGGACAGACTCCAACCCATTCGAGTGGCAGCTCAACACCCCAAAATCATTATTCACCACTGCTCAATAATTCCCTGTCGTCAACGGCCGCCGGTACACCCAGTGGTTCCAGTATTGCCAGCGGTAATATGTCTCTCAGCGGTGGAGCCACCAGCACTGGGGCCATAATTGCCGGCAATGGTTCGGGTAACAATAGTTTTGTCTATAACGTTTGTTCGCCCACACCTCCGCTTAGCGCCAATTCCTCGCAAGCTAGCGATATTTTGAAAATAACCGAAAATGAAGGCAATGGTATGGCAATACAACATCAGCAGTCCCGACCGGAAACGGCTCCATCGTCCCCACCCACAGCAGCAACAACAACTAATAACAATAGTAGCAATAGTATTAGTGAAACCAATACAGCCCAAACACAGTCTCAGCCACCATTAAATGCTAACACCATTAACACCAGCTCTTCTTCTTCATCCACCAAAACAAATTCTCAAGATAATTCTAATTCCAATTCAGCCAATATCAATGATGCTGACACCTTGTCCTCTTCCACCTCCTCCTCGGGGGCTGTCGTCGAGAATGATGAACGTTCTCGGGCATCGGTGTTGCAAAAAGCTTCCATGTTTGAAAAACAAGCTGCCGCTGCCAAAAATACACCAATTCCTTCATCATCATCGTCGTCTGCGTCTGCTGGTGCTGCAGGTGCACGTCATTCGCCGATTGAGGCTGGTATTTATGGCACACGCACTGCCATCACCACAAACAATCATCATCATCACTCAGCACAACAGACAGCACAGCCAATTGATCCTCAGGATGTGGGTAAGTAATTTGAAAAGTTAAATGCATTTTTATTTCTATCGAATATAACATTCTATGGTCCCACCCGACCGCCTCTCACTAACTATATAGCTATCATCTAGAGACTCCCTCATCATATGTCTTACACCTGATATCCTCTTTGTTAGATTGTTACATAGATGGAACTTGTAGAAGAACATGTGTTTTTTTTTTATTTCGAATTATTTTTTGAATTCGCTTCTTTTTTGTCGTTTGTACTCAATTCCGTGCATGCCGATGAGTGAGGTTAGTTTCGGGATAATTTTGTTGTAAAATATTCATATTCAAGTTTTTTTGCGTGAAATAGATAGGCGAATGAGGCATAGAATAGACAGATATGACCATTGGGACTCATTTCCCTCACTAAACATCGACTAGACAATGGTTCAAAAGTAAAAAAATATGAAATTTTGTCTGTGGTGAATTTCTTAAAAAAACTCACCACACCAATTTTATTCATTTAAATTGTACAGAATTTAATATTGTATTATGTCGAAATAATTTGCACCACATTTGCCATAATTTTGTAGATGCATTTTATTCTAAAATAGGATTTTAGCAAGGTTTTAACGAAAGAGTTCAAAAACGAGTCCAAATAAATAGTCAAAATGTTGTGTTACAAAAATTTATTTGGCTAAAAAAGGTTTCTAGATTCCAAAATTGTAAAATTATGGTCGTGGTGAATTTCTACTAAAACTCACCACAGCCACATTTAAGGATATGATCATCAATTTTGAATTTTTGTATTACTTAAAAATGGTTTCGGTTACTTTATCATCTCAAAAACGGTGTCTTTGACAAGAAGTGGCATTGAAATTGGTCAATAGGATTGTGGAAATGCAGTTTTGTTCCTTTTATTGCACTAAAGGATACCTCTATAGCTTAGAACCAGCATTTTAATTTCACTGATTTTGAATTTTTATATTACTCAAAAATTATTTGGGAAACTTTATCACCCGAAAAACTGTATTTCTGATTTAAAGATATGTTGGACCTCTATTACACCTCCAAAACAGGTTTTGGCCACAGATTTCATGAAATTATCCAATAGAGTGATGGAAATGCTGACTTTTTCAATTTTATTTAACTAAACACTACCTTTAGAGTTCTAAGCTAAGTTTTTTTTTTTTTTTTGATATTTATAGTATCGACACTTAAATGAAGTTATTTTAATTGCCATTGCAAATAGCACCGGATTCAGCTTGTGCCCTTTAAAAATATTGTATTTCATTGGGTATAGATTTTTTCAGAATTAATAACCAGCGTTCCTTGTTCCAGAATGACTCGGAATCATTAAAATAAATGCATAAGTATCCAAATCTGCAATATTTAGGGTGTGGTGAGTTTTTCAAGAAACTCACCTCACATGGTTTTTTCACGAAAATTAGCGCTTTTTACATTTTTTCACATGGAAAACTCATTATCAGGATCGTAGTTGTTCTAACGTCCTTGGCATCTTGTCAGATTTTACATTTAGAGCACATGTTAAACAAATTGCTTCAGATTTGTATTAAATTTATGTTTAAATTTTGTTTTGCAATGGAGATATTGCACAGAGAATTATTCCTTTGACATTAGTGCTCAAAATAAACATTTTGGAGTCTGAAAGTTCAATTTGGAGGCTGTGGTGAGTTTCCTGAAAAAATTGAGATTTCGCGGAAAACAGCTTATTTTACATTCTCCCATAAAGGAAAATTGTTTTGGAATCGCTTTCGATCAAATTGGATTAAAAATTTGTCAACATTTCTTTCGAAAAAAATTATGAATTGAACTAAATTTCATAAAATAGCTTTTGATTTCTTAAGAAAAATAGCCTAGGTTTTTCAGTAAGCAAAATTTCCATAATTTTATAGAATAATTTTAAATGAATCCACCATTTTCCCAATCCATCCATGTTCACCTCTCGAATAAACCCTCCCACCATTCCCGTATTATGTTTTTTTCATGTTTTGTTTTTTGACTAAACGATTTTGTTTTCTTTATTTTTCTTTCGTCTTTCTCTCTCTTCCCTTTACCTCCCCCGTTATGGTTTTTCCCACTTTATGTTTTTGTTTGCTACAACAACTACAACAACAAAAACCATCAACATACAACAATATATCAACATTATTTTGAAACAAATCAATATTTTATATTTAAAACCCCGAATACCAAACAATATCTATATATGTCTACACCTTTGTTGTAAATATGGCACCATCAATCAATCAATCAACCACCACTACAACGATAATTGCAACAACAACAACAACAACAATTATATAAATATACATATTGCACAAATCTTCCCTTCTTCCTCCCAAACAAAAAAATAAAACAAACTCTCTATACAAAACACAACACCCTATGCCAATTTTATAAAAAATGCCATGGCATTATCCACCATTCAACACCACTACCCTATACAATTCTATAGACAAATGTTTCGAAGATTCTTTACAAGAATTAAATAATTTAATTGGCGAATTAGATTCTTTTCAACGTGAAATAGATGCCAGCAAAGAGCAGCAAAAACAGCAGCAGCAACAATCTTCCGCCTCACCTCAGCAGCTGCAGAAAAATGTCAAGAATCTTTTCGATGGCGGCCTGGATGCCTTCAATTGCAACGAAACAATGACAATAATAACTGACGATACCACCACCACCATAATCTGTGAGTCGCAACACCAACACATGCATCACCACCCCAGCGGCGATAAGGATTTCTGTACGGCCAGCAATCAAACCAACAGCAGTGGTTGTGGAACGGATATATCGGATACAACCTCAGAGGATTGTAATGCCGATACCCGTTCGTTGACCAGTCAAACGGGTGGTGTGGTGTTGAAAACGAATTTGAAAAGTTTATCGGGAGGTGCCTATAACAGCGATTCGGAACTGAGCCGTTGTTATGTCAGTGAGACCAGTTCCATAATGGGCGGTGCCGGGGATGGCTATGAAAATCCCACTTTTGCCCATTTTGCTGTGTCCTCGACATCGGGATCTCAGTGTTACGATGACAATCGTTCCGATACCATATCACTGCAGCGGCATGGCATTTATGGTGATAATCTAAGTGATAGCGGCAGCAATGTCGTGGTTATCTATGATCACCAACCACCCATGACGCCGGACATAGATTATGCCAAACAAAATTCGGAAATTGTCATGTTGCGCACCAAACCCCAACAATACCCCCTGGGAGGACAATACGATCAACAGGAGATGAGGGAATTGCAACAGTTGCCAGCCAACCTGACCGAGTTGCCTTTGTCGCCCACAGACTCACCCGATCATCATCCGCAGCATGTGGCCACGGTACAGCCGGCCAAACAGCGTCTTTCATCGTTCCGGGCATCCAGCGAACAGTTGCAGTTACTGAATAGCCCCTCGACGCCGACATCAACAAAAGGTATGAATACAAATTTTAATGGTAATGGTAGTAGTTGTGACAACAACAACAAAAATATGAGAAAACATTTGAGCCATGGTGATAATGTTCGAAATGTTGCAGCCCTGGCAACAACAACAACAGCAGCACCAGCGGTCACAACGGTGACACCACCCACTGTGGCCATCGGTGGTGATGGCATAATGCGTAAGAAATTGCCACCAAAACCTCCAAGTTTATCGGTGTTTCAAGGTAATGACCACCAGGCTCAACAGCACAACAACACCAATAGCAACAACAACAACAGTAGTAATCGCCGTAGCTTAAAACTGGTAGCACCGCCAAGTGCGGTGAAATTAGATTTCAAAAGTGATTTAGAGGCTAAAATCTTGAAACAAAAAGAAAAACTTAAGAAGCAGCAACAACAACAGCAACAGGTTCAACACCCACAACAGTCCAACACCATAAGCACGACAACAACAGCAACAACAACATTACCATCATCACCTTCTCAAGCCAACTCCTCCCAGCCAACCAATTGTGTGGGCAACAACAACCCCAACAGTCATCATCACCACCACAGTATTAATTGTAATTCCAATTGTCCCACAACTATAAAGAGTAGTCCAAAATCATCTGGGGAACCTTCATGCTCGTCCTCGACCTCATCAAATTCATCATCTGTGTATGCTAGCAGTAGCAATTCATTATCATCCAGTTCATCTCATCACCACCACCAACATCATCATCATCAATCTCACATGTCTATGAATACCTCCACTCATATTTATTCCAAATCGCCTTTAACAGCTTTGTCGTCGTCGTCATCATCATCACCATCGTCGAAAGCCTCGTCAGTACCATCACAGTCATCATCCAGTTCTGCTCGTTCCTCGCCATCATTAAATGTTGTTCAACCACCACTACCACCACCTCCCACATCAGCATCCCAAAAACCTGCCGATAGTGTAGCATCATCATCATCATCTTGTTCTTCTTCTATGTTGTGTAATAATACATCCCCTGTTGTTCCATCCACATTAGCCAATGTCGCCAAGCCGAGCATTACGCCCAGACCAGCCTCATTATCTTCGGGTTTGTGTTTATTTTTGTCATTCATTCCATATGTTTTGGTTTTTGTGTTTTGATTTTTTATTTGTTTGTTTGTGTTGGTCTTCGTTTTGTCTTAAAAAATATATATTTTTGGTTTTTGTTCCTAATAATTCTCGTTTACTTGAAATTTTTTCTTCTATAACAATTTTTTGATCAATTATGGTGATCAAGAACTTACCTGATTTGGTTTTGGGCAAATAATTCTCATTTGGTTAAAGAGAACATTTTTGTTGAAGGAAGGGACTTTTTCCCTCCTCACCTAACTGGTCCGTCTCTCTCAACCATGGTGTTTGGCTTTCCTAACCTCCTTAGTATATTGTGTACTCGTTTTAATCCATACCCTTTTTCTAACCTGCTAACCTGGTGCAATGTCCTATAACCCTGTATGTTCGATATACGTTATCAATATGTTTTCTAAACAATTTTCCTCTTCCATACGTTCCCTCTAAGTGTTTACATATCATCAGCTTTTTTATCATCAATTACTCAATTGACATCCATTCAAAACACGCACACACACACACACACACAACATTCATTACATATTCCCAGCAGCTACACATGAATGCATATTAATTAAACTAAATTAAATACACTATGTACACATAACACATTTGTATAATAACAAAAAACAACGAATGAACGTAAAAAGAAATCAATATATCAGATACCACCAACTAACTGTGTAAGTGTGTGTATGTGTGTAAATATGCTGTACGTGTATGTGATGAAGTGTGTGCTAATCATCATCATTCACTTGAAATAAAAAGTGAATATTTAAAAAAAAACGACTGCAACGTATGCATATCAAATAATCTCTACAACAAGCCTATTTGTCTCTTCTACAGCCTGTTAATCTCTTCCTAAACAACAACAAATAACATCATGATTTTAATCAATAAGCTATTGCATAAAAAGCAAATAAACATTAAAAGATTGCGAGAAAATTCCTAACAAATTATGTCATGGTTATAATTGCTTAACAACTAATATGAAATGCATTGGGAATATCAAGTAAAAATCAATTTTATATTTTAGAAGGAAACATGGTCACAGTGCTACCAAAAATATTTTTATATACTTTTTACAAGTCTTTAAATCTTCTAGTTATGTAATCAAAAAAATTTGGAGTGTGGTGAGTTTGTCAAGAAATTCACCACGTCTCAAAAATTGCTATTTTCTGAAATTTCAATGTTATACTATAGTTTAAAAATAATTTTAAACAATTTTTAATAATAATATTCCGAAAAAATAGCTTTTAAATCAAATTATGGTATTTTTAGATGAAACCTTGGGTCACACATTTACCAAAAGATATTTTTAAGATATTTCATTAATGATTGAAGTTTTTTGTTTTAACATACGAAATGTTTGGAGTGTGGTGAATTTTTGAAGAAATTCACCACACCCCAAAATATGGCCAGTTCTTAATTTAAAAGGTTTTACAATACATAAAAAATAATTTGAGGCAGTTTTGAATACTAATACTCCTTGAAATTAACTTTAGATTGTAAATTATAACATATTTTAGGTGAAATCCTGGGCAAACATTTACCAAAATTTTTTTATAATTGTTTTATTAGCTATTTAAGTCTTTAAGAAATTCACCATGCCTCCAAAAATGGCCTGTGGTGACAGTAAAAGGTTTTGCAAGAACTGAAAAATAATTGATGACTATTGTGAATACTAATATTCTGTTAAATTAGTTTTAAACTTAAAATTTTAGAATATTTTGCAGTGAAATCTTGTTTAAATATTTACCGTATACATTTTTATGTATTATATTTAAATCGTTATTTTTAAAATCAAAATTTTTTGTGAAATTATAATTTAAAAAAATAAAAGTAATTTAAACCGCCTTCAGATACCAATGCTCCTAGAAATTGGTTTTCAACCGAAAACTATAACATAATTTTAGGTGAAATTTTCGACAAACATCTGCAACAAATATTTGTATATTGTTTTTATTTATTATTAAAGTTTTAAATATCAAAATCCAAAATTTTTGGAGTGTGGTGAATTTTTACCGCTCCTCAAAATGTTTGCCAATTTTGAAATTATAGTGTTTTCCATTAAAAGAAAAATAATTTTAGACAGTTTCGAGTTCTAATATTCTTCAAAATTCGTTTAAAACTCAAAGTGTACCATATTTTGAGTGAAAATCAACACACCTCCAAAAATGACTAATAGTGAAATTAAGACAGCTTTGAATAATGAAACTATCTGAAAATTTAGTTTAAATTAAAATTATAGCATATTATTAGGTAAAATAATTATTAAAGTTTTTAATTTCAAAATCATAAAGTTTGTTTAAAAATCCAAAAAAAAAAAATGGAGTGTGGTGAACTTTGTAAGAAATTCACCACACCTCTAAAAATTACTAAGAGTGAAATTAAAATTTTTTACAATTCATGAACAATAATTTAAGACAGTTTTGAATATTAATACTCTTCAAAAACTCATTTTAAATTAAAATTATAGCATATTTTTAGGTAAAATCTTCCACAAAATATAAACAAAAATATTTTTCTACAGTTTTCATTAATTATAAAAGTTTCTTTGATTTCAAAATCATAAATTTTCTTTAAAAATCAGAAAAATTGAGTGTGGTGAACTTTGGAAGAAATTCACCACACCTCTAAAAATGGCTAAGAGTAAAATTAAAGGTTTTTACAATTCATGAAAAATAATTTAAGACAGTTTTGAATACTAATACTTTCCGTAAATTCGTTTTAAAATTAAATTGTAGCATATTTTTAGGTAACATATTTCAGAAAATGTAAACAAAAATATTTTCCAAAGTCTTCATTAATTATTAAAGTATTTAATTTCAAAATCCACAGAAAAAATGTGATTTTTTAAATTTAATCGCCACACTTCAAAAATTGGAATTAATACAAAAATTGTTTTCAATTTAAATTATTTTCCAAAATTCAATCGAAAAATTATTTTTTATTATTTGTTTGATATTTTATATTTTTAATTGAAATATTAGAATATTTAAAAGTTAAATTTTTGAAAAAACCAAAAAATACCAAAAGTATTTTTTATTTTCATTTAATTTATTTTCTCTGAAATGTAAAGTAAGAAATAAAAATAAATAAAAGAAATATTTTTCTCTTCATAAAGAAGCCATAGTTCAAAAACAAATTTCTTCAAGTTAAGTGAATGTTTAAAAATATTTACCACACAATTATTTTTAAATGTATTTTAATTCGTTTGTTTTTTAAAAGGACATATACCAATGCAAATTAATATTTAAGATACCATTACAATAATATTTATACCATGACATAGAAAAAATTTAAGATACCCTTTGACCTACCTTTCAACCATTTAATGTTTATTTCTCCAACTGCGAACGGCATAGTAGCTGTATAACTAAATAACTATGAGAATGAAATATTATGGTGTCTTGTCTTAACATAACGTATTTGCATAGCAAAATCAAATCTAACAGTCACTGCTGTTATTTACCACAATTAAATAATTACAACTAATAATAAAAAAATTTTAACATTAAATTTACAAAAAAGAAAACTTTTACTTATTTCGATTTTTATATTAACTAGGATCGACACGCATTGCCCGGAGATCTTCGGTAAATACTGCCAAACCGCCGCCGCCAATTAGACGCAGCTCATCAGTAACACCTAGTCCAAATACACCAACAACGGTAAGTTTGTATCAATTAAGATATTTTCATTTAAAGCAAAACAATTGACCAATATTTTGAAATCTGATCTGGATTGGTGTAAATAGAACAAAATTCCAAACTTTCCAAAAAAAAATCACAGCCTCACAAAAACTTTATTCTAACACACATAACACACTATTATATTTTTATTTATTGTATTTATTTTTCTTTAATTTATTTTTTTAATTTTTGTGTTCTTTTTTTTAATTTTGTATATCTTTACCTTTTAAACAAAACCCCCTCCACAATAATAGCCAACAAATGCGAGTACCACAAATCTATTACACCAACAAGCGCACTCCTTGAATACTTCTACCGAAAATTTACCACCACCCCCGGCATATCTTCTGGATGGACGTCAAACGACAATGCTAACAAATAATCATCAACAACCACCGCCACCACCGGTTGGTATGCCCAACTCTTCGTTAAAGGTTTCGGATACGGTAAAAGCTTTATCGGCTGGCCTGAGACATCAGCCAGCCTCACCACAGACACTAAGGCGTCTGCAACAGCAGCAACAGGCACAACAAATGGCCACATCTCCACCACCACCAGTTTTGCCAAGTGCAACACAATCCATGTTACAGGTGAGGTGGCATTATGCCCCATAGAATTAGCATCAACGCTTGGAATGGATTGTAAAAAGCTTTTCTTTAGTGAAAAATCTGGTGAAAAGTTTTTAAAAAAATTTAAAAGTTTTCCTTTTCAGTTCATTTAAATCATTAGTTGAAGCTGTTTTTTTAGCAATACATATTTATATCATTTCATTATATCCTACTTTTATGGTACTGTACTTTATTTATCATTTCATTTACTTTCTTCTTTTTATTCTTTTATGGCTTTGATTTCATCTCTACACAACACCACCACCATCATCACCATCAACACCACGAAAAATTACACCAACCCCACCTATTTAAATACTATCGCAACTTCCACACACAGACTCCCCTCAATCACTATCATCATGATCTATATTCACCCATTCTAACAACACCCTCTTCTCCCATCATTTTGCCCATGCATGATGAGCCCGAATACGATGCTTATTATAACACTTATGTTGAAGTGCCATCATTTGATGCTATACCATCTAATGCTATAACCGCAAATATTACCTCAACCTTGTCCAGTAATACAATTCCGAAAATTTACCCACAGCAACCGAGACAATATCACCATCAATATACCAAATCGTCGCCGGTGCTTTTGTCGCCCACATCCAACAAAAAATCTCGTACGCCCACACCCCCAACACCGCCACCCTTAAATCGTTCTTTAATCGTTACCGATTTGGATGAAACACCACCACCTTTGCCACCACCCAATCCACCAAATCAACAACAGCAACACTATTCCACAAATCACCACAACCACCAACAACAATCCCCACAGCTACGCTATCACCAGCAACAGCAGCCGCAACCCCATCAGTTGCCATCGAATCAACAACAAATGCCGCAACATAGCTATTATGATAACAATGGTGAAACCGTTTACGGTTCAAAATCACCAACTGTAAGTGAAGTGCTAGAATTTTCCAACTGGAAATAAAAATGAGTTCATGTCCCACGAAAATTAACCTCAAAACTAACAAAATCATAATATTTTGGTCACTAATATCCTGTATTTTTGTCGCCCTGCAATATTAAGGGTGTGGTGAATTTAACTTTGTATTCATCACACCAACGTTTTTGCACTAGAGTCTAAAATTTCCATAAAAAACTTAATTGACCAAACTTCAACGATTTCTGGCGAGACGTGGTTTTCAGCCATTACCCATTACCCATTACACTTAAAAAATGTAGGCATCTTACGAAAAAGAAGCTACAAGAGCGGACTGAAATTTTTAATGAAAAAAAATTAAATTTGAGATGGTAAATGTGACAAAGATGTTTATGTCAAAATCGGAGAACGTATTTGCCAGCGAACGTAATACATTTCAGTGTGTGTGCATTTTAGCTCAAAAATTCAATTTTCGATGAAAATAACTAGGTATCAAGTGGCAGAATTAACCCCTGCCCTCATTTTAAAAGTATTTTGGGATACGATATTCTGCAGTCACTTTACCCGGTGGCACTGGTCCATTGTGATACATTCTGGAAAATAATGATATTTGAGTCAATTCCAGACCACCCATCAAGTAAAAGAAACCCTTGCGGCCCAAACAAACAAATTTTTATACCCTACACCACAAGTTGGTCAGGGTATTATGTCTTTGTGCATTTTTTGTAACAGGCAAAAGGACACGAGAATGTGATTTGCATAGAATCACATTCTGAGTCCATTTATGCCTGTCCGTCCGTCTGTATGTCAATGTATTTTTGTTAACAAAGTACAGCTCGCACTTATTGCCCGATCCAGATGAAATTTCGCACAAATCATTCTATATTTGATCTATATTTGGCCCAAGGACGAACCCTATTGAAATAGGAGAAAATCGGTAAAAATTTAGATATAGCTCCCATATATATCTTCGTCCGATTTCCCTTTTATTGTGCACCAAACGTGTAATATCAGCTAAAATGGTACGGAATTTTGTATATACGACCAAATTACGCTTGGAAATAAGTATGTCAAATTTGATCGAAATCGGTTCAGAACTAGGAATAGCTCCCTTATAAATTGGTCCTCCGATTTGATATTTTTATCCTCCGTTTATGTCAAATTTGGCGAGAATCGGTTCAGATATAGCTATATGTTGTTATATTTTTTATTTGTTATATGAAGCTCTACTAAATATGCAAAGGGGTGTACGCCCGACATTTAGACTATCTTTACTAGCTCAAAAATGTAATTGTTAATATTTTTATATTGCCACGCCAATTATTTTCTTTCGATAGCAATTTGATCCAATCAATTTTGAGACAGTTGAAGCCTAAATGACAATATCATCCCATCTAAAATTCAAAGTTCTGACCCATTAGCAGTCAGCAATTATCTTCCATTGCTTGTCAAAGAATGAAGAAAGCAAGTCACTCGTCGCAAGAATACTGGTCAGAAGACTCCTATAACCAGTTTCAAACAGTCAACTATTTTCAACGAAACCAGCTGGTTTGACGGACTCAGAGACCTCTAGAGCTACTTTCAGGATTTTGGCCTAAATTTCACCCTGAAAACCCCTGAAATTTGTTTCGAGTTATTTTTAGTGGCGCTGTGACAAAAGGCATCTTGGATCCACTTATACATAAACAGACTGTTCAGGGCATGTTCAGCTCCAATCCCGTCTTCTCTACTTACATTCGGGAAGCAGGAGCTCCAATCCCGTCTACCCTACTTACATTTGGGGAACAGAAGCGGAGCACAATAAGATCCCGTTTTAACCATCTGAAGCTGGTTTTATATATTTTTCTAACAAAGTAGGCGCCAATGAAACTCTATTCAACACAATAATATGCTCTTTTCCAGGTCAGATGGCTAATTTAGGTGTGCTCATGTTGAGTCTGGTAGCTAGGACTGAAAAACCTCTTTGATTTTACTTATTCTGGACAAAATGTATTTTTTCGCAAGCACATGAATTAAAGCAAACTTCCACAAGTCAATGTGATAAGGACCACCGTTACATAATCTCAATGTAAATGTTCGGCTAATTTTGCCTCACTGAGTTCGTAGTAGCTTATCACAATAAAATGTCCCTTTACCCCAAATCAGACGATGATCTAGGATCGTACCGAGGAATTTTCTTTAACACTCCTTTCCATATCAATCCATGCAGCACCATAAGTACCCGTTTCGGCTTGTCAGGTGTTCTTAAAAATTCAAGTTTAAAATGTCGCATCAAAGGGAAAATATAGCTAGGGTTTTTTGGAAGCTATGGCAATATTGAACATTTTTCGAGAGCAGCTATTTTATACGTAGAAAACAAAATCCCAAATTACAGTCAATTTGGTAAAACGTACGATGCTAAACCCTACAAAATACATAAAAAACATTACCAAAATTGTTCTGTTTCAATGTCAAAACAAAAACGAAACAATACGTGAAAAAATAATGCGGACTCTATTTCGCATACTAAGCAGACAGACAAGAAGGAAATTAAAGAAAACCCATCGAGGAGGATATAAAAAACCAACCATTTTAAATATAAAAAATCTCATCGGCATATTAAACATCCATTATTTTGATTGATCCCTGTAAATATCTAAAATTTAATATCCAACTATTCTAAGTGGTGAATAAAGATATCTCTCTCTTACTATACAAAAAAGAGGTCAATATTTTACTCGAAAGTTTTGGAATGAATCTTTTAACACTTAACACACACATGTTGCAATAACCATTTTCCTTTCATATTTTATGTAAATTCCTACACCATTTCAAAATTGTCTAATTAATACGTTTTCCATGGTTTCTTTCTCACTTCCAGTCATTTCGCACTTCATCACCCGGTGGCATCTATGCACAACCGAAAATCCTCAACAATATGTCGAGTTTTCGCACCAACAGCCCCGGACCGAACAATGGTCATCAGACGCCAACATCGACAACACAGTCGCATGTGCCAGCTCAACCAAAAACCAATCCAAATCTTATAGCTCAATTAAATGCACGCCTAAATAGTAAACACCAGAACACCTCAAGCGGCAGCAACAGCAATGAAGCCGCCACAATCTATGGAGTTTCCCAGGCACATACTCGTGAGTCGAGATCTGAAGATATTTACATGCGCAATTATGGACAGCAGCAGCAACCGCAAATGTCGCCTCATGTCTCACAACAGCAGCAAACCTACGACGGTAAATTTATTGAAAATTCTAAATCAAAATTATATGGTAGTTTTAGCACTTCATCATCAGCCAATCAGTTGTCATCTTCATCTACAACTTCATCATCATCATCCAAAACTTTAGTACACCACCAACAGCATCAACAACAGACATCATCGTCCTCTTCATCATCTTCTCATACCAACACCAACGCCACCACACATCTTACAGCCTCGGCTAGTTTTAATGCTTCACCACATTTTCCACTCTCCTCATCGACATCGTCGTTACTTTCCAAAGTCACCTCCTTTGCCAAGGAATCTCATTCGTCTGGCATTTCGGTGAAGGCCAAACACCATACTGCTAGCTCCACCCATGTCTCTTCTAATATGTCTTCTGTAAATACTATAAATTCTTCTACTGCTCAACCCCCGACTTCTGCTTCTTCTCACTATCACCCTCCTATCAACAATTCCTCCAAACAAAATGCAGCCGCTGAAACAAACGCCAATGCCAATATGAATCAAAATCCATATAATTCTTCTCAATATTATGCGCCTAAACACATGACAGCTGCTGGTCACCATCATCAGTCACAAGCATCAGCCACTGCCAATCATCATCAGCAGCAGCAACAGCGACAGCAGCCTTTGTCTCAGTCCCCAGCGCATCAGGCATCCCATTACCAAAGTGGTGGTCATCATCCATCATCACAACAACAGCAGCAGCAACAACATTATACGTGTCCTCCGCCGCTTGAAGATCCACCTCCACCACCAATACATAGCAACAATAACTCGGCCACCATGCCCAAACGTAGTAGCAATCATCATCATCAACATAATCAGCAGCTGCAGCAAGTGCATCCAACATCGAACTTGGCTTCCTATGCAGCGGCTTCATCCTCTGCCACCTTGCCCAGAAATTTGATGCAACAACAACAACGTTTACATCTTCAGCAGCAGCACCAACAACAACAAAGCCATTATGGTACTACCCAAGCAGCCCAACAGCAACAATATCACGCCCCAGCCGCCATATCCGGAGGCCATCAACAGGATCAACAGCGTCCGCAGCAGCAATATCAGGCGCCACAGAATATTAGTCAAAGACCACCCATGCCACTGCCACACCAATCGTCCTCTCAACAGCAACAGCAACAATATCAGGCACCAGCACCACCAGCTGCTTCCACTGGCAGCAATAGGCAAAGGACAATCTCAAGCTCTTCACTGGCATCCAATAAACAGCAACAACAACAGCAGCCGCCGTTGCAACAACCACCAATACCCTCACGCCATTCCAGTGTTCAACAGAAAATTTTCGTAGCCACCAATCCGTTTATACAGACCACAACCATACACTGCCAATCGCCCGGAGGCGCATCATCCGTCCATTCTCAGCCGGCTTCACCGATTTGTAACTCACCTACGCCCTCTTCCATAGCCAGCATTTATGGGACCAGTGGTCGACGCAGCAGTGGCACAGCCACAAGTGGTGGAGGCGGCAACAGTAGCAGCGGCGGCGTCGGTGGTGGCCACTATGATTCTGGTAATGGTGGATCGATATATTACAATCATCATCCTCATCATCACCAGCCGCAAACTACATTCACCACGGCCAACACAAGTGAGATAACGCGTTATGCTATGCCCGAATTATCGTTTTGAGTTGACGTTTGTTTTTCAGTTGTCATTTGACTGCGTTTATTTTGTTCTCAAAATGATTTATTTTCGTTAGATACACATTTGTTATTTTTTGAGATTAAGTTTCTCTCATTCTCTCTCTCTGCGGGAGCGCGAAATGAAGAGAATTGTTCATGATTTATTTCTGCATGCTGCTTTTGTTTTCATGTTCAATTTTTTTGTATCGTTTATTTTGAAGCGTTTTATCGACTGCTGTAAAGGTGCCAAAGACACAAAGGAGCAAAATTAATAACTGCCGCTGCATTTTGTACCAAAAAACACCTGTAAAGAGTCTATAACAAATCTGGCCTGATTTCGCAAAGCAATGCATTTCCTTTCATCTCCTTTCAAATCTTTTCATGTACTCTGTAGATATCTGCCATCATCACCATAAGCACAACTTGAAAAGAATATTTTTAAAATGGTTTTGAATTTATTCTTATTGCACTTCCCTTCAATATTCTTGCTTTTCTAAGATATATTTTCTTTAATTTCCATTAATTTGAGAGTTTGAGTTGAGTTTCTTTCAAAACTCACCACACCTCGAAAAAGAGTAGATATCACTTGAAATGACCTAATGATTGCATTAAAAGCGTAATACACCAGATATGAGTGAAAAATAAATAGTTATAAGTGCTTTCTTTGGAACCTAAAGGTCTAAAAATATTATAAATATTGTTTATGATATATGCAAAGCCTCAGCTTTCATTTGCAATCAATTTTGGACTGTGGTGAATTTGATGAAAAATTCAGCAAACTCCAAAAATTATCATATTTCATTGTATGATTACCACTAATTATATTCACAGTGAAAAAGAATAGATTGGAAAATATAAATATTCCAAATCGACTGCTTCTTATTTAAATATTTCATAACTTGAATGGTAAATTATTTTTCTTAGTTTCAATATTGTCTGCGATCTCCAAATCTGCTTACCTTTTTTTCAGTTTTATTCCAAGAATCAATTTTGTAAATATGTTCTTTTATACTTTATACAATATTTTGTTCCTTGTTTTTTTCCTAACGAAATTCGTTTCCTTTAAGTCTGTATAATAGCACAATAATAATGTTTTGGGTTTTGTTACGTTAATTACTTTTGATTGCCAATTGAGTTTTTGTTTAACACGCCCTTTTTTATATCTCAAATGCCACTTTCTAAACTCAATATTTGTTTTGTTTTTCTTCACCATCTCTACAAATCAATATTTTTAGATTATACCAGCACAAATACTGGTATGACACGAGCCAAAGCAAAAGCTGAATTCTTAGAAAATCTCAATCAAAAATTGGCTAAACAAAGTCTATCAGGTCGAGCCTTTGCTGTACGTAATTTAATTAATAGCAAAGCATTGGTAAGTAAATGATAATTGAACGACGATTATTGCTAGAAATAGTTTTGAAAATTCTATAAATTGGTTGCCGCCATTTAGCAGAGCACGATTTATTGTTCCTATGTAATGTCCCACAGTTTTTATATCCTCTTGTAATTAATTAATATCTAATTTTTGTTTTTCTTCTTTTCTTTTGTTTTTTTATTTCTCCACCATACTTTGAAATGATTTCCCTTTGATTTCTGTGTAAATTATTGTGATTCGTTGTAATGTGTATGAAATATACCCCCACTTCGTATCGTATAATGACTCTTTTACTGTAGATGTATCAAAATACACAGCATCTTAAACGTCCAAGTGCACAATATCGCAATCTTCCTTTAATTGACACAAATTCATCTTCGGCCACTATCTCCGACGAGGCATTATAGACTCCATAATATTGAAAAGTAAAGGTATTTTCTTTTTTGTTTTGATTTTCTTGGTTTATAGCTTGCTTGTCTTTTCAAGAGATTCAACAAATTAATGCGGCTTTTCATTAACTCTTGTCATAAGGTTTTACATCATCCTTAAATAAACCAAACATTTTATGATTTAAACTCATTGTACAATTAATTTTAAGGTGTGGAAAGTGACTTTGTCAAACGCATCCACACCTTGCACAACATCCATATCATGAAACATGCTCTTATTATTAAATTTTTTGGATCTAAAATATTAATGTTTGCGTTTTTATGCTATAATCCCTCACATTCATTTAATATAATCTAATTTGCAATATATTATAATATAATTATGGGAAATTACTCGGCGAAAATATCAGAAATAACATAATCTAATGAATAATTCCTTCCACAAATTATCGAAGTGGGTGAGGTTAATATCATTTTGCTGGGCAACAATTGTGACTAAAATTTATATAAAAGGAATTGAATACGAATGAGTTTAATTTATTAACTTTTTTGACTCAGGGAGATGAAATTAGATATTCAAAGAAAAAGCATAAAGCATTTTTAAAAAATGCATTGTGACGGAAAATTCCTATTTTCCTATTTTTTGTATCATAATATCTGTTTTCACGAATAGAATACCTTTGTTGCACCAAATATTCAAATATGCCATTGGAAGACAGTTTTTATTTAGAAAATTTAGAAAGTCTTTTTCCAACTTTTTATTTTGGTATTTGTCTCAAACTTGTAATTAATTAGGAAAACATTGAACGTTTTACTATAATTTTTGACTGAATGTCTTTTAGCTCTACATTAGTTTTGTTCAAGTAATCTATTTTGGCTCCCTCTCTCGAGGTCACATTTCGAGGTCAAATTTCTGATTCTAGAAATACTTTTTATCCGAATTATTTCCAATTAAATTGTTTAGATTTATTATAGGTGACTTTTTATAGAGGAAACTGTTCAATATAGGTTATATTAACATTTTATTGTGGCTCCATAAAACGCTACCGACCGAATAGTATTTTAAGGTCTTTGAGCTCATTTCCTGGTGCTTCTAAGACATTCCGTGGTCCAATAAGATAGGTTGTCATATATTTAAAAAAACTCTAAAAATCTTAATTTTATTTTATTTATTTATTTATTTATTTTTTTTTTTTTGGATTTTGACATCCTCAAATTATTTTATATCATCCAACTATTTTGACTGCAATTTAATTTCCCTATTAAATATTCTAATAGGGTTCAATTTCAGGATCTCAAGTATTAATTTTGTTTGTTTCCAAGTACTAATTTTCATTTCAAGATTTCAGATTTGAAGTTGGTTTGATTCCATGGCTTTTTAAACCGTTTCTATCTATGTTAATTTTTTTGTATTTATTGTTGGGTTATCAAAGAAAAAATGTATAGATATTGATGGATGTTTAATTGAAAATAAAGAAGGAATACAGTTAGTAATGAAAAATTGGAATTTAAACAGCGGCCACGATTACGCCTAGACGATATGCTTTCCATGAAATTTTACATTGCTAAGTCGCAAAGTCACTAACATAGATTCTCAATAGCCTTCTTTGAGGACTTAAATCCGCGCTGAGCTTTAAGCGTAGTCCTAACTTTTCACGTGGTCACATAGGAAGAAGACGCAAGGTATTAATTCATAAGACCTTGGTGGTCAATTTTGCATTGGTTTCATAGCTTGTCCAGAACCTAGCGCCGTCTTGTTGAAACCTTACTCGGATCAATAGCACCCAACTCCAATCACAAAAGATTATTAATTATCTATCTCTCGAAAGTGTAATCCATTCACCGTAAATGTGAGGATTCAATTTTATTTTCGAAATATTAAGTAAAGAGTCTTATTTTGAGGATGGATTGCCTTCTCAACAATTATTATTAGATTTTTCGAGTGCAACTTTGCTGCGAGATGGAAATTATTTTTCTTGGAAATTCTGGATGGTTTTCTTGCTTTTTAAGGTCCCAATCTGGAAATACACGACGTAGCTTATGATCAGTCGGCCGGCAACGACGATTAATGGAAAACCCATCGGTTAACTCCATATACTTTTCGGATATGGATATTTTTTTCGATGTTTCAATTTTAAAATGATCACTTCTTTTTGCGAAAAAGTGAAATATTTCTCAAGTTTAGAAAACTAAACAACGTATGAATTTGAAATTTTCGGTGCTGAATTTATTTATTCCAAACGACGATTTTTTTTAATTTTGCGACGACTCAAAAAATCATTACTTTTGAAAACTTTAGACTGCCAGATTTTCACAGTGGATTATATTATTTCAATGCGATGTTTTTATTAGAGGAATGTGTAGAAGCAAATGCTATATTATTAGATTAAGGTAGGCTAAAGTTACATTATCTACATTTTCAAAAAAGTGTCTCCAGTTTAAAGACCAGATCCTGACCATAGACCATCGTTATTATAATTATGTCAATCGACTTTTTACCTTTGGACAGTAATTTATGAAATAGGCTTGTCTCAGGTATTGGTTTAAAGCATTGTCATTGATTTTCCACTCTCACTTACTACCTTTAACATATCATGGGTATACGGATTTGAAAGTCTTGTAGACAAAATCGTCTTCTTGTCTTGCTCTCAAGATTTGTTATTATACAATACAAAATGCATACTTAAATTAGCCCTTTTTATATATTAAAAAATTCAGGCTAACTATTCAACCATGATGAAATGGAATAGATTTCTTGAAGTCAGGACTTTATCAATATCACCTAAAATTTATATATTTTTTTTTTCACTACAAATTTCCTCTATTTATTTCAATTTTCAGTTTTGAAATGTTGTACTGCTCATCCACACAAAATATATGTTTTTAAACGGAATATAGACAAATTTCGTTTACGAAATTCTTTACCCTATGTTGCAATTGAAATTTGTCCACTGCAAATACCATGTAACAATTGTAGCAATTCGGAAAATTTCAAACTTTTTTTAATTTTTAAATAGTCTACTTAATATGAAACAGTTATTATTTTATATGTACAATTCCACAACATTTATGTAAAATATATCCTGTTGTTTTTCTCTCCTTACAGCCTGATTTATATGTAAACCAATTAGCATTTGTCATTAGTATTTTGTGTTAAAATTATCCATCATCCTTCATAGCATAATAAACTGTATTAATAATATGTCATTACAATAATATTTATCACATTAAATATGTATAGTTTGTGTATGGATTGTTGCATTGTCATGGACGTGAAAAAAATAGTTACTAACTTCTTTTTAATTTCTCTTTTTATTTATTTCATTTACAACATTTCTAGCCGGATCCCCGTATCTGTCATGAATCCTTGATGGATCAAATCAAACGTGGGGCCACATTAAAACGCAACCAAAAAATCAATGATCGCAGCGCTCCGAAAATCTATTAAAAATAAAAAGTTCAACAAAACTGGTACCGTACCGTCTTAAAGAAGCCACATCACTCCCATGTTCCCATGGTCTTGGAATTAACAAATTAAAAATTAAATAACCATATCCCAAAAATAAAACGTAATATAACTATTATTATTATTATTTATACAAAAGGAAAACAAACTACTATATATATATTTATGTGTGTATGTGTTTCTGTAAAGGAAGTCATTAGTCTCTCCTCTAATTCTAAACAATATACCGCCATGCGGTTCAATTTTTTTATATATATACATTTATTATACAATTACCTATATTCTTAGCTATAGAATTAACATTTTACAACAGCAAACAAACAATACGAGCAAAACAATAATAAGATTAATGCAAAACAAACACTAACCCCACATACATATTATCCTCTCTATATAAAAGAAACAAAAACAACAACAAACATATGAAATAAATTAAATTTGCAAAAAAGGAGTTTGAGAAAAAAAAACAGTTTGAAACTATTTTACAAAACAAACTCAAAAAATAAGTAAAAAGTGGAAAATTTAAAACATTTTTTAATTATAATCAACATTATAAATACTACTATTATACACAATTATTAGAATTAAAATACGAAAACATTTTCTGAAATGTATACTCTGTATTAATTTAACAGAAATTATCATTTATTATTTAATTTTGTTTATTAACATAACCTCAAAGTTATCTGTCTGTCTACATATACACACACAGAGAGTATCATAAAAAAAAGTTTAACAACAATTCGAAATAATTACTAATGATACTGTGCAAACAAAGCAGACGTGGAGATTGGAAAATGTATTTAAGTTTAAGCAAACTAGTTTTACTTTTTTATTTAAGTTTTTTAAAAACTAAAAAATCATCATAATTACCAAATTGTTTTTTTTGTTCTTTATACTAAAAACATTACTCGAATTTAAATATTGTTTTCTTTTTTCCTTTGAACTATATTTATTTTTTGTTTACTTTTTTCTTAACTTTTAAGTTTTTTTTTACTTTTTTTGTTTGTTATTAATATTATTATTACTATGATTATTAATTTAATGTTTATCAGTTTTTTGCTTTGCTTTCTTTATAGAGAAGTCGTTTAAAAATAATCATTGTATATAAATTTAATAATTTATTGAATTACCTAACTAATTTAATGTTTATAATTTTCTGTTTTCAACAAATTAACCAACCAACCAACCAGCCAGCCCCCATTACTATGCTTAAAAACGAAAACAACCATTTATCTATATATAATCCATACATATATATAATATCATACGAAACAACATATGCTTTTTTCAAATGAATTAATCAATAAAAATAAACATCAATTAAATATGAATTAAAAATATCGCTGTTGTTTTATTTGGCTGTAGCGTGTGTTATGTAGTACTTATGATTGAGGCAAGAGGCAAGTTTAAAAAAGAACGGTTAAAATTACCGACAGTAAACTCGCCTGTTAAAAATCAGGACTTACCGATGCAATTTGATTGAAATCGCCAATGGGTATTTAAGTAAGGCTGTCTCTTTTCTGCTGCAAGTCTCCATAGAGACCCCTACTTAAAAGTTATAGTTCGCTGATTCAATTCCTCTTCGCCTCAAATTATAGTTTTTACTAAAAACTCTGAAGCATTTTATTTTAGATTGAAAAATGTTGCAGATAATTGTGAAAAAAGCATTTGTACAAAATTTTCGAAACGCACAAAGGATATCGCGCATTTTTAACATTAAAACACTCCTCAAACAAAGTGCCATACTTTGAAAAAAAGAGTTTTTCCTCTAGTTCAAATTTAGCATTTGGTCCCGAGTTGTTTTGTTTACTTTCATCATAGACAAATGAAGATTTAGAAAACGAAAAGTTAGTTTTGTCTTTTTATCCAGGTGGCTCAAATCATGTCTAGCATAGTCAACATGCTATTTACGCGTTCAACCCACTCGACTTCGAAAATACATTATATCGTCTTTCAAGAATTTCGCTTGTGTAGTCCCAAATTTTTCGATGTCATCACGTACTTTTCAATTTTTTTTTATTTTGGAAAAATTTTTAACTGACAAATATCTTACAATTTTTGTTATTGAGAATTTAGTGACTTCAATATTATTACTTAAACCCCTGTCTATGCTTTCATTCAAATATTCATAAAAATCAAGAAAAAAGAGTGAAATATTTCATTCAAATATTCATAAAAATCAAGAAAAAAGAGTGAAACATTCTATTATCAGTTAATAATCGCATCGTGTGGACGAACTTAATACTTAGTTCCAGAGCCAGTGAGAACATGGTATTATGAGGTGTAACGCTATTTATATTTTGTTATATGTGAATTACCCTACTTTGTTCTGTGTTTACTTTAATTTATCTGTGAATCACCCTGTATCATGCAGTGCTGTTTGACTATAAAAAATATATAAATAAAATCAATTTAAATTATGCAATATACATTTCTTAGCTTTATTAATTTTACGTATACTTAAGTACAGACCAAACAAGTTCCGCTTTAATAAGATGTAACTCTCATCTGATGAACTAAAGGAGCTTTAACAAGAATACAAATGTGGTTAGTTCACATGGCTCCTTTTAATGAATATTTCCATTGAACTCCTACAGCTGAGTGAGAGTTGCACGTTTTTTTGTTTTGTTTACTTCTTCGTTGGCTCTTCAATTGACCAGGAACCTCCTGGAAACTCTTAAAGGAACCTCGCCATGGGGGCCCAAAAACCAAAAAGACATACAAAACATAAGAAACAATACAAGAAATCAAAACCCATACCCAAAAATCATGTTAACAGCAAATTCAAGCATCGTGGCAGCACGACGGTCGAGCGGTTAAAGAAACAAATCGAATTGGAAAAGTCCCATCTACAGACGAAAGAGGTGTTTGAAAATGAATTGCTGGGTGGTGGCCTGTCAGAAGAAGAGGAGGAAGAGGCAAATCCATTTGAAGATTTGGTTCAGGATTTGAGTTCAAGCGGTATGTAGTGGAATAAGAAGTCAAACAATTCAATCAGAGTTTTTATTTTTAGTAAAAAAGAAGCCAGCCTTCAAAGAAGCTCCCTTGCAACTCTTGGGGGCCAAGAAGAAGCCTGAACAAAAAACAAACGTCACAGCCAAGAAAATGAGAAGACAATATGTTTTGCCCAAGTTACAACAGTTTAAGACTCATTTACAGACCGAAGTCTCGGCAGAAGATGTTGAATTACTTATCAATGGTACTGCGGAGAAAATTAAATCTTCCATCGAATGGCCTGAAATGGGTCATGGCTATATAACAACACCAGAAATCGAAGTCAATCGAAATAAAGATCTTATAGATGAGAATCCACCGCCAGCATTGGAAAGTGCTGACGATTTGGAATCATTGGGTCTACAGCCATTTTTGGCCAATCGCATTAATTTGCCAATGAGTAATTTCCAAAGTGAACTTTTGACTTTGTTAAGCACCTACAAAGATGTCTACTATCCATATCGTAATTTCGATAATGCTGAAGAAATTCGTCAGGTCTATACGATTCATGCCCTGAATCACATATTCAAAACACGAGCCTGTGTAATGCTGAACAACAAAAAAATCGAGGAGGAAGAGGCAAAGAATAAGGGCTTGGTTATAGATGATGTTTATCGAGATCAGGGTCTGGCTAGACCCAAGGTTTTGATTGTTACACCGTTTCGTGACTCTGTCTATCGTATTGTGAACATAATGGCCGAGATTATTAAGAAAAAGGAAAAGGGTGAGTGAGTAAAAACTGATCACAATTGAATGGACACTTGGGCGGACTTAAGGAAAAAATTTAACTTGCTTACATTTCTGTTTAAACTTGCTTTTAATTATCCGAGAATTGCTATTTTTGTTCAATTTTTTTTAATATTCTCCATTTTAAAAAATACTAACCCAATCTATTTTTATTTTATTTCCAGACAATGATGCCAAATCTGTTATGAATATGGAAAGATTCGTCAAAGAATTTACCGGTGATACTATTTACTTCCCAAAAACCAATCCCAAACCCGAAGATTATGAAAAAACGTTTAGTGGAAATACTGATGACAACTTTCGAATTGGCATATCCCTGACGAAGAAGACTCTTAAGCTCTACACAGATTTCTTTTCATCGGATATTTTGATTGCCTCACCCTTGGGTCTGCGTCTTTCAATGGGTGGCACCAGTGACAGTGATGTTGAGGCAGATTTTCTATCCTCAATTGAATTGTTGATTTTGGATCAAGCGGAATTGTTTTTGGCACAAAATTGGGAAAATCTCCTACATGTTGTTGATCATTTACATTTGCAACCGAAAACGATGCGAGCCACCGATATTAATCGTGTTCGTTCTTGGTGTTTAAATGGATATTCGAAATTCTATCGTCAAACGTTGCTGTTTACCAGTCATGAGCTTCCCGAGTTTAGAGGAGTTTTCAATAATAAATGTTTCAATTATGAGGGCAGCATACGTTTCTCAAACCCCATCATCAATGGGGATATACGGAATGTAATTGTACCCATATCCCAGGTCTTCCATCGCATTGAATGTTCTGATATCGAACAGGTGTTTGAGAAACGTTTTAATTATTTTGTTGAGAAGATACTGCCGCAATTTAAGAGTACAATATTTGCCCATTGTATGATTTATGTACCGAACTATTTTGATTATGTGCAATTGAGAAATTACTTCAAGGCCGAAACGGTGAATTTTGTACAAATTTGTGAATACACCAAAAAGGAGAAAATGGCCAGAGCCCGAGATATGTTCTTCCACAGTGGTGCCCACTTTATGCTCTATTCCGAAAGATCACATTTCTTCAAACGTACAAGGATTAAGGGTATACGTCACTTGATTATGTATCAACCACCTCAATGGCCAAATTTCTATTCGGAAATGATAAATCTTATGCATACATCTAATCAGAATAGCCGTGATGGCCTGGAAAATTCCATGAGTATAACAGTTTTATACACGAAATATGATAGTTTACAATTGAATGGTATATTGGGTACGGAAAATGCTACAAATCTTTTGGAGTCGGATAAGGCGATACATGTATATGCAGCGCAATGACGATTGCAAATGAAGTGTGAATAAATTTTTTTATTTGTAGTAACACATATGTGTTTTTCTTTTTGGACAATAAGGTTTAACTTTGGGGAGGACTATCTATAAGTGTTAGGGCCGATTGAGGCATAATGTAACCTGTTGATTAGTTTTGAAGTTGTTAACAATAAAAAAATGCTTCGATTAAAAGTGCTTGCACAATGATTTTTGCTATCTACCAAATATTTTATTTTTCCTTTGGAAAAAATAATTTAATAGTATTTTCATAATAAATATCGGCTAATTTGTCAGCAGGTTGATTTTTAACACCGGCAATAACTTCCAAGACTTGGCTACAATAAAAAAACAAAACGTTACATTAATATAAATTTCGAAACAACAAGCCATTACAACCCACCTTATTTGACATGGCTCACAACGTCCATCAATCAGCGAATCCGCAGTCCATTTCTCCTTCTTCTTAACGGTGGGAAATTTCGTTTGCACAAACTTTTGTCCAGCATGTGATGGCCGTATACCACACCATGGACAATCCGTTTCCAACATAATACGATCATTGGGTATCTGCTTAACAACCTCCAGATTTTCTTCGGTTTTCAGAGAGCAACCATTCAAACCAATATACAAATTTGGATGAAAGTCTATAACACTTTGTGCCTCCTCGGCAGTGCCGGTAAAACTATGTACCACACCACCACCACAATTATCTAATTTTTCTTTATTCTTTTTTAGAATATCTATGAAATCGTCATGGGAATTTCGACAATGTAAAAAGAGGGGCAATTTAAATTCTTCGGCCAAGGATAGTTGCTTTTCGAAATATACTTTTTGTGTATCCTTTTCACAGAAGTGCAAACGATCATAGTCCAGCCCGCATTCGCCTATTGCAATTACTTTATTGGGGTTGGAAGTAATTTTCTTACGTAGACCCTGATAATACTCTTCCGGATTGGGAAGGAACTCTCCACAGCGTGTGGGATGACAACCTATGGTCACATATAACCTTTCTGAAAAGAGAAATTCGAAGGATAGTTAGATAATATTTATTAACAGTCCACAATATAAGAGTTCATCGTAGTATGGTAAATATTATTACAGACTTCGATATACATACCGTCCTTGTTAGCCATTTCTAAAGCCTCATCGGCCTCATTCAAAGTACCCACTGTTATGATCATCTTCTGTAAACCTTGCTTCCACGATCTATCCAGAACGAGCTGCAAGTCATCCTGGTGTTTCTGTGAACCTCCATATAGGCCACGAAACATGGGGTCTGTTAGATTGGCACCAATATCTGTAAGCAGCAATAACTTATTATTTTGAAAATAGGACAGGCTATGCAATTTGGACCTTACCTATATACTTTAGGGACATTTTTAAAACGTTCCAAATTGTTTTCATAAAATCCTGAAGAGAGTCTGGACAAATATAGACTGGTGACACCGGCAAAATTGACAAGTAGCCAAAATCTATTGTGATTGATATCACAGCTGATGAAACAACGACAGGGTGATTCATAAAATTACAAATTGTCATAAGCAGTCTACTTGCTCTTGGTTAAATACATTTTAAGCTTTTTATTGCTTTATCTACCATAATAGGAAACTCAATCACCGGAATGCATTACATTTTCTTTGAATTCCCTTGTGTAACATATATATTTTGTCTGCCAATAAACTCTTCATTCATTTTTTTAACGTCAAATAGACACCCTGTTTTTTGCTGTGTCATTTCCGAACACTTCCCAATTTCTAGAACAAACAAAAACAACAAGAAATAACAACAAAGGCTCCCAAGGAAGTAAATTCTGATTGCTCATAAGCTTGCAACAAATTTAAAAATAGCGTATAAATCCACAAAATCTCAGACTTGAATCCATAGAGAAACGGAAAATTATTAAGCGACCAACAAAATGTCAGTACGTCATGATTGGTATCAATCGGAGACCAAGGTGGTCATCACAGTTATGCTCAAGAATGCCAAAGACAAAACTACAAAGTGGACATCGAGCAGCAAAGGGTCCATATGACAGCCGAGGGTTATGAGTTGGATTTGAAGCTGTTCGCCCCAATAGTGGTGGAACGTAGCTCCTACAAAGATTTTCCGTCCAAAGTGGAAATCACCCTGGCCAAAGAGACGGGCATACGTTGGGACGGACTCGAGGAAGCGGTAAAACAAAAACCGGTAACTGCAGCTCCACCTCCAATTCACAAAAAGAACTGGGATAGTTTGGCCAAAGAAGTGGAAAAGGCCGAGGAGGCTGATGCCCAAAGTGAAGAGGCCCTCCAGCGTCTGTTCAAGAAAATCTACAGTTCATCATCGCCCGAAGTACAAAAGGCTATGAATAAATCATTTTCCGAATCTGGCGGTACTGTCTTGAGCACAAATTGGAATGAAGTTGGCAAAGATAAAGTGGATGTGAAACCACCAGAGGGTTGTGAGTTTCGTAAATGGGATTAGTTGAAAAGGAATGCTGATAGTTATTTGACGAATGCAGTTTAAGTTAGATCTTAGCCTATACACACAAATGAATGAATGTTATTTAATACCTATTTTGTTTTTTGTTTTACATTCATATACATACATATTTTTTAGTAATACTCACAATACACTTTCTAATAAACAAAAAATTTATCAAATACTATATTTGTATTTCTTTCGCATTTAAGTTCGTTAACGTGCTGAATATATATTAGTCTATTAATAATATTTAAGTATTTTGTACTTTCCGGGGTTAACCGCAATGTGGAGAGTCCAACTCAAAGCTTTTATGGTAATTTCGTCTCGACAAGCCTAATCGATCTTACAATGTTAATTTAAGGCCACGTTATAGGTTCTAATTAAAGACCAAATGAAATTCTGTATGAAATTGGTTTTTGGTGATATCGATCAACAACAGTTTTTTTTGCCAGAGTTTAGTGGCAAAGCTAAAGAAGGCCCATCAATATCGTAAAAAATTCAATACTAAAAACCACTTATCACTGAAGTCACCTATTTATGAAAAAGGATATTCTTATTATATTTTTAGTAACCACTTGGTTAAGATATGTGGTCATATATCTATCATGGCTTGTATGCGCTTTTACATTTTTCAAACAGATGATGGGAATTGATTGACAGGTATATGAGACTTATAGTTATAAAATAACTTGGGATATTATATAGTTTATATCATGGGCCTATAGTACCTCTTAGTGGATTGCATATAATCTGTCGGACGATGTATTTTGGTAAGAAAATTACAGCTCACATTTATTGTTCAATACAGAAGAAACTTTCCATAGGTCACTTATTTGCCGCAAGGAAATTTGAAGTAATCGTTTTAGATCTGGGGATTTATTTGTGCCCGACTTACTTTTCACCAACTGCTTTATATCAGACCAAGTATAATTGTGGTACACAAAACCGAATTCAAAATCTAACATCTGAACTTAGGGGGAATTCGCTTCAGATATAGCTGTGTTGTTCTGTCATATGTTTTATCCAATTTGCTATTATTGTTCTAATTCTTTAATATGTGTCCCATATCTATCATATTTGGTACTAGATATCAGATACAGTTAAGCAATACCTCAGCCATTTTTTTTCGAGATTGCTTAAGCCTACGATTCGATTGAGATTACTTTTTTCCTCAACCTTAGTGTGAAGGGTATATTAAGTTTGTCATTCCGTATGTAACACCTCAAATTATAAGATTTAGACCCCACAAATAGACCCCATTAATCGGCATACAATTCTTTGTTGAAATACCGATATCCGCCCGTCTGTGGAAATCACATTGGCTGCCGAAAGAAATTAGGTAGGTTGATAAAATTTTATCAGGTGTATTTTAGGTCCGTAGCATATTTATTATTAGTAATGCGTCATGTAGGTACACGTTTTGGTATAGCATATAACCATACCGGAAGATTTAAGGTCTTTCGTTGTTTTTGTTTCACTTTCTACCCGAATTTGCTATTAATTGATAGTTTGTGTTCCCAGTATGCGGAAAACATCATTTAATGGAATTGTTCAAGTTTGATTAAAGTCTCCATATAATTGTGCCTCCATCTAAGTTTGATAAAAATATTATGAATTACCAAGTTTGGACCAAATTGGAAACTTCCTTAAAGAGTCAGCCAGACAGACGGACAGACATAGCTAGATCGACTCAAAATGTCCTGAAACGGATTTGGTCCAAAGAGACCTACGGTCTATAACCGTTATTTCGATGAGGCACGTTGTGGCCTATCAAATAATATATACCCTCTCTAGTCATATGGCTGAAGATATAGAAATAGGCTCTGAAATGGATGTTGTTGAAATATGAACATAATAATGACTCTTCCATGACACTGTAAGAACTGCTTCAGGAGAAGCAGAGAAAATATTGCTTCATTTTGAACTAATTCAATTTTATTTGGTTTGGGAATATTTGTTACAGGTAGCCCTGCTTATGCATAGTGGTGTAGGGCGTACGTGATTTAGGGATTTTTTTAACTTTAAATGCCTTAATAAGAACGGGTGAAGAGGAATTTATAAAAAGATATTCAATTTTTTTGGAGCTAAAGAAAAGGCATTCCCTTTAATTTCATTATTATACCCTCCACCATAGTATGGAGGGTATATTAAGTTTGTCATTCGGTTTGTAACACCTCGAAATATACATTTTAGACCCCACAAAGTATATATATATTCTTGATCAGCATAAAATTCTATGTCGATTTAGAAATGTCCGTTCGTCTGTGGAAATCACTCTAGCTTCCGAACGAAATGTAGTAGGTTGATAAAATTTTACTCAAATGTGTATTATGTCTGTAGGACTTTTGGTATTGAAAAAGGGCCATGTAGGTCCACGTTTTGTTATATCCCCTATATAACGGTACCTCCCGATATGCGGTATTTTGACGATTTTAGCGACATTATGTATCGGAATTGCTCAAAATTGGTATTTCAAGTTTGTAATAGATACTACGGTTTAAGACAGAAAATGGGTCATGTAGGTCCACGTCTTCGTATAGCCCCCATATAACAGTACCTCCCTATATTCGGTATTTTGATGATTTTAGCAGCATTATTTACCGGATTTTTTTTTCAATTTGGTATTTGAAGTTCGTAATAGATACTACAGCATATAACAGAAAATGGGCCATGTAGATCCACTTCTTCGTATAGCCCCCATATAACGGTACCTCCCGATATGCGGTATTTTGATGATTTTAGCGACATTATTTACCGGAATTGTTTAAAATTTCGCATTTGAAGTTCGTAATGGATACTACAGCCTATGACAAAAAATTGTCTGTGCAAGTCCACGTTTTACAACTCCCATAGTTCTTCCCTATATTCGGAATTTTGATGATTTTAGCTACATTCCAAACAGATTTTTTTAAGTTTCGCATTTGAATATTGTAATAGCTTGTGGCAAAAGTTGCCTATGCAGGTCCATGTCGTCGTATAAGACCCTAATATACGGATACATTGGGTATTTTTAAAGATTTTAACAGAATTTTTAACGGATTTTATTTTTTTTTGAAAATTGCCAAATTTTTACCAAATGGTGGAGGGTATTCAAAGTTCGGCCCGGCCGAACTTACATCTTTTTTACTTGTTTTTAATAAATATTTATAAAAAGATTTAATATTTTTGCTTGTAATATACTAATGATTTGGATCTATGGATTATGGACAAAAGAATGACTGTATTGTGGCTCTATGGGAAGTGTCTGAAAAGAAGCGGAGAAAATGTTATTTCGTTCTGAAATAGTTCTGCTAAATATGCATAGTTGTTTTAAGGTGTAAGAGCCAAAAATATTCTGTATAGAAATACCCAAATTGTAGGGATTTTGAAGACCACCAATTTTTCCATCATTTACCTTGTCATGTAGCGGAGACAATAAATGTTACGCATTACCATTTCTTCACTTTCTGAGTAAAATGCCCCTTTTAAAACACACCTCCCATTATTCCACTGCCATGTTCCTCATTAATTGGCATTTGAAATGACCTTTTGTAGTAATCCCAAGCTTTTACAACAATTAAATAGTCGATAATAAAATATGTAATTTAAAAGGATTTGAAAAAAGGCACGTGGTATTTGGGTGTTTGCAACAAATACAAAAAAAGGAAAGCGGTAAAATAAATTTCAATTAAATTGCAATTATTATCTAAATAATTATGGGGCTATGGATTTGGTTAGCACTAAAATTGTTTTGTTTATTTGCTGTTCATTTGTAACTAATTAAATACTTTAATATGTACGAATTTTGGTTTTAAATTGTAATTACGAAATGGCGGATACGTTTGTGTGTTTCAGAGGTAAAACTACACAATTGCAAGCGGTATTTGTATTGTGGAAGATATATATGTGCAGGTATATAACAAAATGTATAGAAATAAATTAAAAGCAATTAAAATGGAAACCACAAAAAGATATTAAAACAATATGTCAGTCTAATAGCACTTGGAAATGTGAAGCAGGCATGCTGGCATTAAAATACAATGTTATAAAATATTGGAAATTTGTTTTTGGTATGTGAATAAGGGCCTGGATGTAACATAAATATGTGGAATGGTGTTATGTTCAGTTGTAGAGGTAGATTTATTTTTGAAATTATTGTCCAACTTAAAATGGGTTAATCTGTTATAGCCAAACTGTAATATATGTTGTAAATCTATGATCAATACTGTAATGTATTACAAATGCGTTGTCCGTAGGGCATAAATATACAAAATATAAACTTCTTCTTCCCTATATTATTTCTGTCATCCATCTATCTATAATATATATATTTGTATATAGCCATGTAGTTTTTAATGTACAACAAATAAATAATTCACCACTCAAAATTGTCGACTAGAATTACAGGCAATATTTGTAAAATTGTAATGAAATCAAGTAAAAAAGATGTAAGTTCGGCCGGGTCGAACTTTGAATACCCTCCGCTATTTGGTACAAATTTAACAAATTTCAGAAAAATAAAATCCCTTAAAAATCTGTTAAAATCTTGAAAATACCTAATGTAGCCGTATATTAGAGTCTATACGAAGATGTGGACCTGCAAAGGCAACTTTTGCGAAACTTGAAAAAAATTCTGTTTATAAGGCACAGGCAATTTTCTGTCATAGGCTGTAATATCGAACTTCACGAACTTCAAATCCGAAATTTGAAACAATTCCGGTAAATAATGTCGCTAAAATCATCCAACTACCGAATATCGGGGGGTACCGTTACATGGGGGCTATATGAAGACGTGGACCTGCACAGACAATTTTACGTCATAGGCTGTAGCATCCATTATAAACTTCAAATGCAAAATGTGAAACAATTCCGGTAAATAATGCCGCTAAAATCATCAAAATACCGAATATCGGGAGGTGCCGTTATATGGGGGCTATACGAAGACGTGGACCTACATGATTCATTTTTTGTCTTAGGATGTAGTATTCATTACGAACTTCAAATACTAAAACTGAAACAATTCCGGTAAATAATGTCGCTAAAATGATCAAAATACCGAATATCGGGGGTACCGATACATGGGGGCTATACGAAGACGTCGACCTACATGGCCCATTTTCACTTTATGCTGCAGTATCTATTAAAAACTTCAAATACCAAATTTGAAACAATTCCGGTAAATAATGTCGCTAAAATCGTCAAAAT